TAGGGCTTGGCCTGCAAGCCCTTAACCATACAAGTGTCCCTTCTCTGGACCCTCTCCAGGTTATCCGCATCCCTCTTGAAGTGCGGTGCCCAGAATTGCACGCAGTACTCCAACTGCGGTCTGACCAGCGCCCGATAGAGGGGAAGTATCCCCTCCTTGGATCTATTCGTCATGCATCTGCTGATGCATGATAAAGTGCCATTGGCTTTTCTGATGGCTTCGTCACACTGCTGACTCATGTTCATCTTGGAGTCCACTAGGACTCCAAGATCCCTTTCCACTTCTGTGCCACCCAGCAGGTCATTCCCTAGGCTGTAGGTGTGCTGGACATTTTTCCTCCCTAGGTGTAGTACTTTGCATTTCTCCTTGTTGAACTGCATTCTGTTGTTTTCTGCCCACTTGTCCAACCTGTCCAGGTCTGCTTGTAGCTGTTCCCTGCCCTCCGGCGTGTCCACTTCTCCCCATAGCTTTGTGTCATCTGCAAACTTGGACAGAGTACATTTCACTCCCTCGTCCAAGTCGCTGATGAAGACATTAAAGAGTATCGGTCCAAAGACCAAGCCCTGCGGGACCCCGCTGCCCACACCCTTCCAGGTCGAAACCGACCCATCCACCACGACCGACCCATCCACCACGATAGAAACAGTTGCATTGGAACTGCTGTCTCAGAAGGCTTGGAGGGAACATATTTTTATATATATTAGTAAAAATCAGGTTTTTCACTGGACTGGGCTTCTAATTCCACCTATTGTACTTCAAAGAGCACCACTTCTCCAATCAGCTGTGTGGGACTAGTGATGAGTTTCAGCTTATCAGAGAAGTAATGGCCTTCAAGGTAAAAGGCACAGGAAAGAGCCAAATAGCTCATCCTTAATTCGGCAGCCTGCCATGATTTAAAAGGTTTGTAAACCAGCCAAATGAGAATGATCTGGGGTCTACTGAATCATTTATACTAGGACAAACCAAGAAGCTTCAACCACAAACTATAACCCCTTGAGGTAAGCACTGTTCAAACAGAAAATATAGTTAATCCCTTACACACTTTTTCTCAAAGCTTCTACCTGACACCTTTTACTGCCTCCTCTACTTCTGCAAATTACATGCTATTCGCAAAGACACCACACAACACCACCTCCAATAGCTTTAAAATTCTCCCAACTCTAACTTCTCAGTTAAGAAAAACTAACATGAGTAAAAAGAAAAAAAGCAGACACAAAAAGTGTGAAATGTAGTACAAAAAAGATGAGATGGAAAAAGGTAAGAGAACCAGATAAACACTGCAAATTTTAATGCTGGCAACATTTTTTTCCCCAGGAATAATTTGTGAGACAGACCTAAACAGGTGGATTAGATTGATAACATTCCACAGAAATGTAGGAATGGAAAGGAGCTTCATGAACCATTAAGTGCAATCCTGTGCATTGGCAGCCATTTATTAACTGAAGGAATGTCCAAAATCACCACTTCAAACCCTCAACTATAAGGACAAGGTGCAAAATCTGAAACATCAAACACTCTACAAAATGTCATAGGCAAAAGCAGGGGTGACCAGAGTGCAAAGACAGGGAAGGAATTGGTTAACATATGCTCAGAAGAACCTAGGAAAAGGCCCATGTCTTGTGCTATGAAGCAAAGCAAAAACTCCCATAGTCCATGACAAAAGGTTTGTTCCCACACTCCCTCTCAGAAGACAGTATAAACCACAGAAGTTTCCTGCAGGCCTGGGCTCAACAGATCATGCCACAACAGCCACCTCCTTGGCAGGAACTTGAACCCTTGATGCCCAGATTAAGTCTGAGGCTCTACCAACTGAGCTACCCCACACGGCACTCCACAGAATGCAAGTGCACTGTATTAATTAAATGAAAAATAGTAATGTAGAATGAACCCCTAAATCTTAAACAGAAGAAATGCAGCACTGACAATATGCTGTGTGTCACTATTTCAACTAGTGCAACATTTCCAACTTGGAAGGACTACCCCTAGGGCAGAAGAGAGTTCTGTAGCCAAGACAAATTCAATCCTTTGCTTCCCTACTAAGGTTGTTAATGCTTTTTCTGATTTTGGCATTGCTTTGTTAAGAATAAGATTCTATTTTTGGTTATGTTCCCCATACTCTAATGCCCAAAGAATGAAAACACAAAATAGGAAGAAAAATAAAAAAGCCAGCCAACCAACCAACCAACCAAAAACAAATATTCATAGAAAGTGGATGTTTTAAAGTCTAAAATTGTTTCAGAGCAATGAAACTGAATAACTTGACTAATTCAGGTCACATTTGTCATAGGGAACATGTAACAGCATTAAGACTTTTGTTTGCAGTAAGTATTTCTGGATTCAATTTTATCTCCTCAAATCTTCAGTGCTTTTTCAATTTATCATTAAGACTCACATCCCATATGCCAGAAAATATTGTCTTGATTAGCCTCTCAGAATATGGGATTATTCATAGATTAAATAGAACGTAGGCTGGAAGGGACCTCAGAAGATCATCGGGTCCAGCCCCACCTGCACCAAGCAGGAAAGACAACTGGGGTCAGGTGACCCCAGCAAGGTGACCATCCAGTCTCCTCTTGAAGATTTCCAGGGTAGGTGACTACATCACCTCTGGAGGGAGCTTATTCCACAGTCAGGACACCCTAGCTGTGAAGTTTTTCCTAATGTTAAGCCCAAAACAGTCTTCCAGGAGTTTGTGACCATTGCTCCTGGTTTTCCCCACGGGTGCCCTGGTGAACGGTTGTTCACTGAGCCCTTGATATACGCCTCTGATGTAGCAGTACACTGCTACCAAGTCCCCTTTCAGACTTCTCTTGTTCAGGCTGAAGAGTCTCAGGTCCCTCAGCCTTACCTCATATGGCTTGCTGTGCGAGTTTCTGATCATATGGGTGGCCCTTCTCTGGACTCTTTCGAGCTTTTCCACTTCCTTGTTGAAGTGCAGCACCCAGAACTGGACGCAATACTCCAGCTGTGGTCTTACCAATGCCAAGCAGAGCGGAAGAATCACTTCCTTAGTTTTGCGGGAGATGCACTGCTTGATGCACGCCAGAGTATTATTTGCCCTGCTGACTACAGCGTCGCACTGCCAGCTCAGGTTCATACTGTGGTCAATTATGACTCCCACGTCTCTTTCATTCATAGACTGTTAGGGGCTGGAAGGGACCTTATAGACTATTGGGTCCAGTCCCCCTGCATGAGGTAGGAAAAGGCAACTGGGGTCAAGTGACTCCAGCGAGGTGACTGTTCAGTATCCTTTTGAAGATTTCCAGGGTAGGTGACTGCACCACCACTGGAGGGAGTTTATTTCACGGTCTGGACACCCTGCCTGTGAAGGAGTTTTTCCTGGAACTGAACCTGAAGCAGCCTTCCAGGAGTTTGTATCCATTGCTTCTGGTCTTCCCCAGGGATGCCCTGGTGAACAGCAGCTCACCGAGTGCTTGATGTACTCCCCTGATGTAGCAGTAAGCCACTACCAAATCCCCTTCCAGCCTTCTCTTCTGTAGTCTGAAAAGGCCCAAGTCTCTCAGCCTCTCCTCATATGGCTTGCCTTGCAAGTCCCTGATCATACGGGTGGCTCTTCTCTGGACCCCCTCAAGTTTTCCCATGTCCTTGTTGAAGTGCAGCGCCCAGAACTGGACACAGTACTCCAGCTGTGGTCTCAACAGGTGGGGGGTACAGTGGGAGTATCACTTCCTTAGTTTTGCATGAAATGCAATGGTTAACGCATGCCAGCGTGTTGTTTGCCCTGCTGGCCGCAGCACTTCACTGCCAATGGTCAGATGGCTAGTGCTGGTCAGATTGGCATTGCCAAGCCTGTAGGTGTGCTGGGGGTTGTTCATCTACAGGTGGAGCACTTTACATTTCTCAATGTTAAACCTCATCTGGTTCTGATCCACTCAACTTCCCAGCCTGTCTAGGTCTGCCCGGATCTGCAGCCTATCTTCAAGCATGATCACTCTTCCCCATAACTTGGTGTCATCCACGAACTTGGCCAGTGAGCTCTTCACCCCGACATGCAAATCACTGATGAAGATGCTAAAAAGCACTAGTCACTTCTTGCCAAGACGACACAGATCCATTCAGTAGAACTCTCTGGGTCCTATCCCGCAGCCAGCTTCCTATCCACCTGCCTGTCAAACAGTTAAGCCAATTTTCTAATGAGAACATCGTGGGATACCAGATCAAAAGCTTTTTGGAAGTCAAGGTATACAATGTTGATCTCCTCTCTCTTATCCAGATGGCGAGTTACCTGATCATAAAAGGAGATGAGGTTGGTAAGACAAGACCTGCCCATGACAAAGCCATTCTGTTTATTACTCAAAATCCTACCTTTTGCAAGCATATCGCATATAGACTCCTTGATAAAGGTTTCCAGGATTTTCCCTGGGATAGAAGTTAGGCTAATTGGCCTACAGTTACTCAGCTCCTCCTTCCTTCTTTTCTTGAAGATAAGCATAATATTGGCGCTCTTCCAGTCCTCGGGGACCTCCCTGGAGTGCCACGAGTTTTGGAAGAGCTTTGCCACCAGTTCCGCAATTACTTTGGCCAACAACTACAGCACTCTTGGATGAAGTTCATCCAGGCCTGCTAATTTATGTCTAATTTTTTTAATTGGTCACACACCCGTTCTACAGCAATAGTACGAAGGCAGTCATTCCTACCCTGCTCTTTTTGTACCCCATCTGGCACGTTTTTCCCCTTGGCCCTGTGAAAGACCAAAGCAAAGTAGTTATTCAGGAGTTCAGTTTTCTCCTGAGCGCTGGTAACCAGCTGTCCTGAGCTACTGCGCAGCAGCACCAAACTCCCATGTTTTCCTCCTGCTCCCTACATACCTAAAGG